GGCTTATATAATTCCCAAAACATCACTTCTTCCAAGAATGACAACTTCTAATATGCCCTTTTCCTCAACACTATCAACAGTCAGGGATTGATGACAACTTAAACAGTGCCAAAGGCAGGTTGGCAAAAGTCTAAGTAAATCAACTTCCAAATCATATTTCTCTTCGCAACACTGCACTGCAAATCTCTGGTTACAGAGACTTCTGATCTAATTTACTCCACACTTACAGTAGGTTATAGGTACAATTCCATTGCTCTTGACAACAGTATTCCTGCTTTACATTGCTGAAGGGGGGTAAGGATAAAGCCTCCCTATTCACCCTTGGAGTCAATGTACAGACTCTTGAGACATGCAGTGTCTTCTACTTTGGCTAATTTACAAAGTGTTACAGGTTAAGTGGTAAGATTATAAGCTTTAAAAACACATACCATTTTTAAGCTCAGAACGCTGACTGCATCCCCTCCTAGTTGCATGAAACACTTATGAAGGCCAATTAAAAGCATCAGCAGCAAGCCTATCAGAACTGCATCTAACATGTGGCTGCCCACCTCCAGCAATTTTCAATGCTAGGCTGGATGGGGTTTTGAGAAACCCAACCGAGTTGGAGGTGTCCCTGCCCATGGTAGGGGGGGTTGAACCAGATGATCTTTAAGGTCCCTTCCATTCTGAACCATTCTGTGGTTCTGTGAGTCTATGTTGTCCCTCAGTATGACAGCAGTGGCCCTCCTTCTTCCTAACCAGATTTGGGATTTTTTCTTTAAGGTTTACTTAGTTCCATTGCACTGAAAACTAAAGCTGGGAGGTGAAATCAAGCTGTAAGGGGACTCTTTCCAAATATTCCCCACTAGGAAAGGAAATATTCCTCTTGATACCCCAGACCACAGATGCTCTCTTCAAAGACATTCCTTCCCCTCAAGATCAAAAAGAGACACAGGTTGACCTGCATTTTCCTGTGGAGCAATGGTTATTCTCACGAGGGCCTGCACAACCCAGGATTAGAGCTGAGTAAGACAGCCTTGAACTCTCTCTGACTCAGCTGAGCCGAGGAGGCCTGGAGTCACAGTATCACAGTATCACAGTATGTTAGAGATTGGAAGGGACCTCAAAAGATCATCTAGTCCAATCCCCCTGCCGGAGCAGGAACACCTAGATAAGGTTACACAGGAACGTGTCCAGGCGGGTCTTGAATGTCTCCAAAGAAGGAGATTCCACAACCTCCCTGGGCAGCCTGTTCCAGTGTTCCGTCACCCTCACTGAGAAGAAGTTTCTTCTCAGGTTTAAGTGGAACCTCTTGTGTTCCAGTTTGTACCCATTTCCCCTTGTCCTTTCATTGTTTGCCACTGAGTAGAGCCTGGCTCCATCCTCGTGACACTCCCCCTGTATATATTTATATACACTAATAAGGTCACCCCTCAATCTCCTCTTCTCCAAACTATAGAGACCCAGCTCCCTCAGTCTTTCCTCATAAGGGAGATGCTCCACTCCCTTAATCATCTTAGTTGCCCTGCGCTGGACTCTCTCCAGCAGGTCCCTGTCCTTTTTAAACTGAGGGGCCCAGAACTGGACACAATATTCCAGATGAGGTCTCACCAGGGCAGAGTAGAGGGGAAGGGGGACCTCTCTCGACCTACTAACCACCCCCCTTCTAATACAACCCAGGATGCCATTGGCCTTCTTGGCCACAAGGGCACAGTGTCGGCTCATGGTCACCCTGTCGTCCACCAGGACCCCCAGGTCCCTCTCCCTTACACTGCTCTCTAACAGGTCGTTCCCCAATCTATACTGGAACCTGGGGTTGTTCCTGCCCAGATGCAGGACTCTACACTTTCCCTTGTTATATTTCATCAAGTTATTCCCCGCCCAACCCTCCAGCCTGTCCAGGTCCCTCTGGATGGCAGCACAGCCTTCTGGCGTGTCGGCCACTCCTCCCAGCTTAGTGTCATCAGCAAACTTGCTGATAGTACACTCAATACCCTCATCTAAATCGTTGATGAATATATTAAATAATACTGGTCCCAGAACCGACCCTTGAGGCACTCCACTAGTTACAGGCCTCCAACTAGACTCTGCCCCATAGACTACAACTCTCTGGCTTCTCTCCTTCAGCCAGTTCACAGTCCACCTCACTACCTGATCATCCAGACCACACTTCCTCAATTTAGCCGCAAGGATGCTGTGGGAGACCGTGTCAAACGCTTTGCTGAAGTCAAGGTAGACCACATCCACCGCTCTGCCATCATCCATCCACCGTGATATTTCCTCATAAAAGGCTACGAGATTGGTCAAGCATGACTTCCCCTTGGTGAAGCCATGTTGACTGCCCCTCATAACCCTCTTATCCTTGATATGCCTTAAGATGGCACCAAGGATAAGGTGTTCCATCACTTTTCCAGGAATGGAGGTGAGGCTAACCGGTCTATAGTTACCCGGGTCCTCCTTCTTGCCCTTTTTGAAGACAGGAGTGACATTTGCTTTCCTCCAGTCCTCAGGCACCTCTCCCATTTCCCAAGACTTGGTAAAGATGATGGAGAGCGGTCTAGCAATGACCTCAGCCAGTTCCCTCAGCACCCGCGGGTGCATCCCATCTGGACCCATGGATTTATGGATATCCAGATTGCTCAACTGGTCTTTAACCCATTCCTCATCGACTAAGGCAGACCGCTCCGTTGACCTATCTTCATCCGAGGTCTCAGCGGTACAGGGCTCTTCAGGACTGCCTCTGGCAGAGTAGACAGAGACAAAGAAGTCATTCAGTAACTCTGCCATCTCTGTATCTTCTGTCACCAGGGCACCCGCCCCGTTCATCAGCGGGCCTACATTGCCTCTGGTGTTAGTTTTACCTGCCATGTATTTGAAAAAGCTCTTTCTGCTGTCCTTGACCCCTCTCGCCAGCTTTAATTCCAAGGAGGCCTTAGTCATCCTAGCAGCTTTCCTACATTCTCTAGCAGCAGCCGTATATTCTTCCCAAGTGGCCAGCCCTTCCTTCCATGACCTGTAAACTCTCCTCTTCCACTTGAGCATACGGAGCAATTCCCTATTTAGCCACGCAGGTCTCCTGACCCTCTTCCTTGACTTCCTACATGTCGGGATGCTCCGATCTTGAGCTCGGAAAAAGCAGTCCTTGAAAGTCAACCAACTATCTTGGGCCCCTTTCCCTTCAAGCAGCCTAGCCCACGGGATTTCCCCTAGCAATCACTTGAAGAGGCCAAAGTTTGCCCTGCTAAAGTCCAGGGTTGCGATTCTACTTGCTATTCTACTGGTCCTACCACACAAGATCCTGAATTCTACCATCTCGTGGTCGCTGCAACCAAGGCAGCCCTCAACCTTCACTCCTTCAACCAGACCCTCCTTGTTAGTGAGGATGAGATCCAGCAGCACACCTCTCCTGGTTGGCTCATCCACCATTTGCATGAGGAAGTTATCATCCATACACTGGAGGAACCTCCTGGACTGAGGCTGGGTTGCCGAGTAGTCCTTCCAGCAAACATCAGGGAAGTTAAAATCCCCCACGACGACCACGGCCTGTGACTGTGAGGCCGCTCTCAGCTGCCTGTAGAAGGCCTCGTCAACTTCCTCACCCTGATCCGGTGGCCTGTAACAGACCCCCACAACAGTATCGCCCCTGCCAGCCTGCCCCTTAATTCTCAGCCACAGACTCTCAACTCGCTCATCATCTGTCCCCGGACAGAACTCAACGCATTGTAGCTGCTCTCGCACATAAAGAGGAACCCCACCACCCCGCCTGGCTGGCCTGTCTTTCCTGAAAAGGACATAGCCCTCCATGACTATATTCCAGTCATGTGAGCTGTCCCACCATGTCTCTGTAATTGCCACCAGGTCATAATCTCCTGACTTAACACAGGTTTCTAGCTCCTCCTGCTTATTTCCCATGCTGCGCACATTGGCGTACAGACATTTCAGGGAGCAAGCTGAGCACACCGATTTCACCCTAGGATTACAGGAGGCCTCCCAGTAAGTCGAAGACATGTAAGCAGAACGCTGAAACAGGAGCTTGCTGGCCACAAGGAATGCATCGCTTACCACAAGGCATGCACCCTGCTGTTGCAGAGATATGTGTGTAAAACTTAGCTTGGCCAATAGCAATGTATAAACAGGCGTGTGAACAGGTTTATGTAGCCAATGAAAGATGCACAGCTGTCACGTAAACTATCACCAATGGTATAAATTAGGTGAGCCTGTGCAATAAAGCGAACAAGAAGCGTAACTCATTTGAGATTGTCTTCTTGATTCGGGTCGCTCCTCCGACATTTTCCCACACTATTTCCAGGACTCTTAGCAAACTTCTGGTGCACTCCCATGTTCTTATGTCAAATCTAATTCCTTGTAGAAGCCCACATTTTATCTTTAATGGTGATGCATGGACTAGAATAAACATAGATGCTTCTCACCCCATGCTAAACCCCACTGTTATGTCAGCATAAAGATCAAGGCAGCATAAACACTTTGTACTGTAAGTATCATTTCTGGCTATCATTTATTAACTATAGGTCTATCTCTTTCAGGTTTAATACTGACCTTCCTCTGTGCAGTAGCCACCACAATAAGTAACAATAAAAAGGAAGCCCACATTAACATTGAAGGACTGCACAACTATACCAACCAGCCAAACCCACCTTGTCAGGCGGGCACCTGGGTGGAGTGGGGTATTCTGAGAGGGGACTACCCAAATCCATCAGTCACGGTTAGGGAGCAGGCCGGACCAGCACAAGTTACGACGCAGGAGGAGCTAACCGGCTACTGGCCCCGGCCGCGAGCCCGGAGAGGTACTCGCCCCTTTGCTGACAGGAGGCGGCCAACGGCGCAGCACCACCCCACGCCCGAAATGGCACTGCCCCCAAGATGGCGCCGCGCTGGCCGTTCCACCCCCGACCCTTGGCCTCCGGCCAGCTCCGCTGCCCGAAGACCCGCCCCTGGCTTTGCATAAAGGCGGTGCCGGCACCTCCCTTCTCTTACGGCGGCGTCGGCGCGCGGGAAGCAGGATGAGGCGCATGCGCGTTGCTGAGGGGCGCTGGAGCTCTGCCGGTGTGGCGCGGCGGGGCCGGGCGGGGGTCGGCGGTGGCGCAGAGGGCTTACGTGGCCAAGGCGGCCGCCAGGAGGGTTGGCGAGGCCAGTCGCAGGGCTCGCTGCAGCAGCTGGCGGAGCGGTACGCGGACCTGGCAGCTAGCTACAGCGAGGCGCTCTGGCAGCGGGCGGAGCAAGAGACGGAGAACGCGCGGCTCCGGCAGGATAACGCGCGGCTGCGCCTGGAGAACCGCCGCTTGCGCCGCGAGAACCGCAGCCTTTTCCGACAGACCCTGGCGGGCCCCGACACTGCCGACAACCGCGCGGCCATACAAGGGGAGGTGGAGGCCCTGCGCGCCCAGCTGGAGAAGTTGCAGGAGAGGCACACCCGGGCTTTGCAGGAGCTGCGGCGCTGCCAGACCCCTTGCTGGTCGAAGGCCTCGGGATTCGACGACCGCAAGCTGGGTGAGCTGCTGGAGAAGGAACAGGCGCCGTGTCCCCCCCAGCAGCCGCTAGAGAAGAAGGGCCAGCTCTTGTAGCTGGCCTCGGGAGAAGGCGCGGCTAGCAGGGTTGCTCTGACGGGACGGGACCGCTGATATGCTCGGGCTCGCTGTCAGCTATGGACCTTGAGTGAGGCTGGGCGGCACTCTCTCACTGCCCCCGGCCATGGGCGGGCTCCTGCCTCGTCAGGCCGAACAGGCCCCTCCCAAGGAAGGGTGGGAGGGAAGTTGACTGGGTGTTTCTAAATTCCTGTAGTAGATGGGTGACCGGGAAGCATTAACCGGGATCACGGGGAAGTGGGTTCTGTTGGGAAACTGATGCTGAGAAGAGGCCTGCCATTGAATGCGTTGAGGCAGCAGTTGACATGGAGAACAACCACAGTGAGAAGAACAGTTTGTCTCATGTCACCTCATAGCATTGAACTGTACATCCCTTGGGGACCAGCTATGGACCACCTTTGTTCTCTTTGAGCAGACCTCAGTAACCATGGAGACTGTCAAAAGATGGTTCTGGCTGATTTTTAGTAGTCTCTGTCTGCTAGTGAAGGAACCTCACAAGCTGCTTTGGCACCCCAGTAAAAGTTGGTGATTTGAGCTCTTCTCTCAGGTGCCTGGATGTTTACTGCAAAACAGCATTTGTATCTTTAATGGTGGGCTTTGTTCACTGTCACATGAATATTGGTTTGAATTTCACACTTGCATATAAAAAGCAAAAAAATAAAATCATGACACACCAACCGTTTTATGTGTGATTTTTAACATGGATTTATTTTGAAGCTGTAGATGAAATACACATCAGCCCTTTGTAATGCACTTCTTCAAAATCAGAGGAGTTCGTTGGGTTTTTTTACCTTTCTTCCTTGAGAAAATCTGCTATATAAAAGCAAATTACTTAGTATTTTTTCAGACCTGTCTTTAGAAAATCTTCTGTTTGAAAGCAACTGTTCTAAAGAGCTGAGGCATCAGTTGGTTTTGTAACATTTAAAAGCTGTCTGATGCAGTCAAGTTTGGGATTGGTTCCTTAAAGCTTTAGTAGCCAAGGTGTATTTCAGCCCAAAGTAACATGAAAAGGTGAAACCCCATCTTTTCTATAAGTATCTTTGGTAATGCACCTTCTGAAAAGGGTCACTTCTCCATACAATATCAGCATAAACCTCTAATAATAAAATGGCTGTAATGCTTGTTAAACTTAAGTCTTTCCAGATCCACCACTTCAAGTAAGTGCATTTTCAAAATGAAAAACTATTTGGCACAATGCAGCTAATATCTTCTTAATGAGAAGTTGTGGGTGTTGTCCTTAGAAACTGGATGTGGTGTTTGATGGTTTAATAAACAAAATATTGTCAGAAATGCTTGAATTGATAAATACTTAGGAATTACAGTACCTGAAACATCAGCAGAAATGTCTTATTTTAGTAGCAGTTTCCAATAAAGCATGCGTACCCAAGTAATGTGAAGAATCTATCAAAATAGTACAAAGTACAGCTGTTAAGGTACAATGGTAGAAATGTGTAACTATGCCAAGCATCCTTTTCAGAAGTTTGAGTATTGGCAAAAGAAGAGGGATTCCACACTTTTTCTGATACACAAAATTTTTCAATTAAATTTTGGGGGCACTCCCAATAAATGGAGGTTTTGTGCAAGAGTACTAAGTTCTATGCAAGTTTATAAGGTTTTTTCCATGACTTATATAAAATAATCATGCAGAGTACAAAACATGGAGGAAAAAAAATACTTCATTAAGATTCAAATTGATGTGAAGAGTGCCAAAGAAAAGATTATTTCCTGAAATTGCTTCTTCCAGATGAGCTGCAGTAAATTGCTGCTTATTTCAGTCAGGTTGCAAAAGTTTCATTTAGTCAGTCATCAGATCTGGTTGTTAGTTTGGTTTTGAGATCAAAAGACAAGAACATAAGAGATTTAGGAAATGTCTGTACTAGGCTTCAAGAGTAGTACTTCAGTATGCTGTCCCCCAAATAATGGTTTAGTGGAGGTGGATTTCCCTTATGGCACACTTCTATGATCCTCGTCTATAAGAAACTACAAATACTGTGGTTTACAGGTAAAGTGAATACACAGTTATATCCCAAAGGATACATCTTTGGAATTGCCTGATAGATTACAGCATCTACACATCAGAAGAGGTGGAAGAAGTGTTCCTACAGTTATATTAAGAGCTTAAACCTTCTGGTACTTTTGGTTAATGTCTTGTTTTGTCTCCTTCTTTCTGGCCAGTAAACAGTCAAATCTTGAAGTTCCAGGCTTTGCTGCTTACTCACAAATCTTGTCTTTAACTTTCTTTATCATGTTTTCGACAGTGACAAGTATTTATCCTTCTTTTGTTCTAGTTGTTGTGGTAGTGTCTCTGTTTTTCACTGTCTTGCTGTGCTGAGCCTTTCTTTCTCTGGCCTAACTGAATGTTACGTCCCAGGGTTTGAAACAGAATGCATTGCAGAACAAAACTGCTACACTATACGCAGCAAACAGAACCATGCTATCCCATTAACCTTTCTATAATTTCACTTTTTTTAATTAAAAAATAATTTTAGTTGTATACTGATTGTTTCCAAAACCATGAATTTCAAGCCCATATGTTTTTTCATGGTTTTGATTCTAGGTTTTTAATACTTACTTCTTTGCCACAGGTACTGAAAAAAAGCTCCAAAACAACAACAAAAAGATAACAAACCCACACACTTTTTTTTGTTGTTGTTTGTTTTGCTAAGGCCAGATTCTTGAAGATAGGTAGATTAGTTTTGTTTAAGAAATATTTTGCTTAAAGTTAACATCTACTTAATAGCATTTTGTACTACAGTACATTAGAGAAGGGATTGAATCCTGGTTTGCATTTGGGTCCTTGGGTTTTTTGTGATTTGTTTAGTTTTGGTTTCCTTTTTTCGCTACATAAAATGACAGAAACATAACAATATGTAAAACATTTGCAATGATACCTTCCAGATCATGTTGTTAAACTGCAGTGTTTGAAATATGAATACATGTTCTCTTAACTTTCTTTGATGTATATATGTATATAAATTTATAGAGGCCAGCAAACCCCAAAATCCTGTAGTCTTTCACTTCATTATGAAAACAAAATTGTTTTCTTTTGTTTCTTAAGAAAGTGTTTGGTCTTAAGTGCAGACTTTTCCTTACCCTTCTGCCCTGTGCCTCATGTAAACAAATGATTATGATGTGTATGTTGAAGTGGAAGCTATATGCATGACTGTGTTAAAACTGTACTAAAATCTTCTGGGCCCTGATTTTGATGGCTTTAAAACGTACATATGAACAGAGTGGCTCAGTGTTGGTGCCATATTTAATATACACTCTACTGCTCTTCTGGGACCTAATTTAAGTTTCATTCAATATTGCACTCTGAAGGAGTCCTTCTCTGCTGTGCTCATCTCCTTGAATATGTTAGGGCCTTAGGGTGGTTTAGCTGCCCACAGAGAATAATGAAATAAATTAAATGTCTTTGTATGATAAACTAATGCCATTCAGAATAGTTTAGTTCAGCTACTTTCCTACCAAAGCAGTCATCTGTTACTCTTCCCTTTCCGTCTGTCTCACTGTGTTCAGTAACCCGTTTTGGTTTTGTTCACTTCAGCAAAGGCATTTGCAAGATGTCTAGAAAGACTTTTCCGAATTTGCAAATGCTGTAGAGTGGTTTAAAGCTCGATTTTTAATGGTCAGAAATTAAGCAGGTCTTTCCTGCATATTTGTATGTGATACCTGGTATCACACTGAGAATTTTAGGTGTAACCGCCTGGGAACAGTTGTCATTCTATACAATATCCAGATTGAATTTACTGCCACATTCCTTCCAAAATAAGCCCCCATACCCTTCAGAGAATAATAGCAGCATGTGATTATAAAGCTTTTTCTAAAAAACCTTGCAGCTGGTATTATTTCATGACTTTCAAGGCCATTTGCTTCCCTTTGTGCTGTCAAAGAGTCTTTGTGCAGTCACAATGTGGTTGTAGCAGAAGAGAAGATAATAGGCATTACATTTAAAGGGCATAAAATAATAGGCATTACATTTAAAGGGCATAAAGAGACTACTTTAGATCTGGCTTTATAGGAGGCAGTGTGGTATAAAGCTGAGAAAACATCAAATTGGTTGGGTAATCCAAAGAGAGAACATTTTATGAAAGAGAAATAATGTGACCATCAAACAAAAGCTAATGGAATTATTATATCCATATATATTGATGTATTTCTGATGAATGAAAGTACTCAATGCAAAGTTTGGATAAAATAAGAGATTAGCACTGAGGAAAAATGCAACTGTGTCATGCACTGGCTTGTATGACAGTCTTTGAAGTGAGGGCAAGTTTTGGAGAGCTGCTCTACAAACAATCCATAACGTGCTGAGATTATGAGCAGTGGTGCTCATTTAGGTTAATTTATCTTGTAAAAATCTGTGAGGGACAGAAGATAGAGCATTTCAATTTTGTAAATGCTGTAGGATTTTCAATGACCTGAAGTGCTTTATACAACTGGTTGCAATTGAGCAGCTAAATTAATATGACTCTTAAAACCTTCCCTCCCCTCCACTCCCCCACGGTGAAGTAGTGGATGAATAATAGAGGAATGTACTGCAATCAGACAGCAGCATCCAGTTGCTGTGTTTTGCCAAACTTGATTCCAAGTAGCTGGTCCAGTCTGATGCTGATTAGCGTCTGAGAGCTCGGGGCATACCTGAAGGTGAGGTGGTTGGAAAGTGTGTAAATACAGCAGCCCTAACCGTTAATGGTCATGACTTCTGTTATAATGACAACTTACAAAAATCATATGGGCTTACTGATATAACAGCTGCTGTGTTTCGTGTGAATTGTGAATAATTAGCTGTACATGTGTTTCTCCTCCTTATTATGTACAAAGTATTGTTGTCTATTCCTCACTTAGAGCCATGACTCTGGGTGTTCGGTAATTGTTTCTTTGTGGTGAAGATGGTCGAATTGTTCTAATTGGCTGTTAGAAAGCCTTGTTCCCTGCTGAGGCTTGTATGACTTATAATTTTGAATTTTGGTATTGTT